CACCACGGGTCACCCCTGGTTCACCAATGCGTTAACCTGCACTCACCGCTGTTATTACGGTGACCTTAGCACGGGGTCAGCACGGGGTCACCACCTGCTGGTCACCAATAGAGCTTTAACCTTCCTGTCCTCACCGCTGCTGTCATCACGGACCTTAGCCACGGGGGTCACCTGCTGTGGTACGTCACCAATGCGTTAACCTGCACTCACCGCTGTTGTCATTACGGTGACCTTAGCACGGTGAGGTCAGCACTGGGGTCGCCGCGGGTAACCTGCTGGCTCACCAATGCGTTAACACTGCACTCCACCGCTGCGTTACCATGGCGACTGTACGACTGCATTGCCTGCCAAACCCATTACACTGTGATATAAAACAATGTTCCTGGGTAGTAAGTGTATTTCTTCTAATTGCTTATGCCTCAAAGGTACACCATGATTCTGTGTGACCGTGGTTATCCAGCACTGCAGCAATGTGAAGTCCGTGGGTTTTCAAAGCTCGTGACAGCGATCCATCAGGTCACGTGGCTTGTAGTTTAACGGGCACGGGTATTGTCCACAATGACAAGAATTTGTCCGTAACACTAGCACATTCCCCACCTTAAAATACAATATGGATCGCTGGTGCTGTTCTTACCTTGCCGCTGCGCTAATATGGGAACATTCTTACAGCATTTCGTTACCGTTATCATGAAAAGAGTATGGCCATGCTGTACACTGCTATTATATTACCGTGGCTGAACTTTCGTTATCTCTTTTCCTCCATGGGTCAACCAATCCAGTGACCGTGGGTAATTTTGTTAGGTAATATTAATACACTACAATTCACCCTGTCTTTGTTAGCATCATCATCATCATCATCGGCCATGGTCTATGCACTGCTGGATGAAGGCATTCCCAGGCCACCGCCATCTACTGAACATCTGTTGAAAAAGAACTTCATAGCTCATCGGATTCCTCCGGTGTGAATAATGATCTTGGTTCTCATTTTTCGCGGTCCTCGGATGTAACATTCTATTAGTACCTGCACATACTCCGATTTCGTCACTCCCATCTCCGCGGTTTGTGTGCATTCTCAGAGACGTTCTTGGCTTTGGCTGTCTCAAACTTGCACGTGTCCTCTTGTCCACGCTCTATACTATCTGCTCCCCCGGTGTCATTTCACCATCTTTCTCCGTGCGCCTTTGTTCCATTCGCTTTGTCCACGTCCAACTTTCTGAACCCATGCGACAGAGCAGGCGATGCCACTGCGGACAATAACAACTGTCGAGGTATCTTCCGGCGGAACAAATTGGAGTATTCTTCTTGGTTCTTTCGGTAAGTCACGTAGAAGGGAAATAATAAAATAATAAAAATAAAACATTAAATAATTCTCACGACGTTTCGGCCACAACGCAAGCAGCCGTCCTCAGGTGAAGAACAGGTCTGTCGGAAAAAACAGCGTCTGAATGGGCACACACCAGGCTTGGCAGCGTATATTTAAGCTGGGTTGGAGGGGTGAGGGGCGCCTTGACAAAGGAATTTGCATATCAAGAGGAATTTTGCATAAATTGGAGTACTGTCGTACGTGATAGCGAGGGCAGTTATTGAAGGTGGAACGGAATCAAAATGATGAATATCGAGGTTGGTGACGGTGGTGTCGAAGTCCTTTTGTAAAATTATATTCAACCGGCGTTTTGCCCGTCCTCGGACGGAAGCTGTAATATTTACGAAAAATTGAGCAGAGTATAATTGTATCTTGTGCAAATTCAATGGCAGTGAATCTGTGCACGAAAGAATGTCATCAAACACTTCACTGCATTCACTGGAGCGCTGTATTAATGGCAGTGAATCTGGCACAAACGAAGTCATCAAACACTTCACTACATTTCACTGGAGCACTGTATAATGGCAGTGAATCTGGCACGAAACGAAGTCATCAAACACTTCACTGCATTTCACTGGAGCACTGTATTAATGGCAGTGAATCTGGCACAAAAGAAAGTCATGAAACACCTAACTTCATGTCACTGTATAACTGTATTTAACTCACCTTCGTTTAGTTCAAAATCACTGCTCTGATACTTTATTTTCTTCTGCTTTCGCTTGCTGGGGTTGTCATCCATTTGAATTCGATACAATGTCTGGAGAATCACAGAGAAATGTAAATATTTTATCATAATTTAGAAGCAAAAATTTGACTTACCTTTTGTCTCGAGTGCTGAATAAATAAATGAAGACACCAAATACACTTTGTTGCTGCGTATAATTATTTATTTGATTAACTTTAAATAAAGAAACGTCATATTCGAAGCGACTTTGCGAAAAAAAATATCTTTCTGCTCAAACTTCTTCCGCGTGAGTGTAAAAATCCACTCTCTCATGATTATTTTATTATTAATGAGGGGGGGGGGGGGGTGGCATGTGGAGTGACGTGTAACGCACGTTACACACATTTCTGGGCTATTATAGTAGTAACTAGCTTCACTACCCGGCTTCGCCCGGGACTTGGATTCTTGTCTTGGATAAATTTCAAATTTCATATTCACTTATCTTTCACTGAAAATCCCTGAAAAAAATGTATGTTTGCAAGAAAGATAAAAGCCGAAACACATCAATTTACCTAAATCGTATGTTTTCACTCGAGGACATTCAACCTTAACCCACTTCTACGTCAGGTCGATTTTGGCAACTCGGGAATGGAATGACGCGGCAAGCTGAAATAGTCGTGTTCGCTTAGAAATTCCAGACAGCATGAGCTGTGAAAATTTCATGACGCCAGAGCTCAGCGTTGGAGAGTTTTTGCTGCTTCACACAAACAAACTGATGTAATTTCTGCTTTATATTTATAATAGTGAAATTCATCCTACCAATGCGCCTAAAGAAAACTAATTCTCGTTCGTCTGGCTCTTCCTGACTATCACCATACATCACCTGCTTGAATTCACGTTTCTCTCAGCACCCCCCTCCCTACCAATCTGTGCAAAAGATTCACCACCTCTGCTCGAGTTCGAAAGACTTCAAATGTTGTTTCGTGGGATCAAGGCTGGACAATAATTCCACACGAGTGGTTGAGGCAGCCAAGGGTGCAGTGATGTGGATGAGTGGGTTTGGGTTACAACGGGACACCACAACCCTCTCTGATGGTAAACACAGCAACAGCTTAAATCTACAGCTGGGCAGGTGGCGTGGGGGGGGGGTTACAAGGTTCTTTTTTCCAGGGGTGTGTGATGCAGCATCTCCTTTGACCGCCCTCCCTTCCCCTTGCTCTCCCCCGCCCTCGCCTGCACAACAAATCCCTGATCTTTTTTTCTGCCCGGCCGAGCTTGCCTCTCCAATGCCGACTGCTGCCGTTTAATTTTCACTTGAAGCGCCCACCGTGTCGGGCAGCGGGGAGAGCCGGACAGATTGCGGCAAACGCTGCAGCGTTGTGTCCCTTTTTAAATCCTTTATATTACGTTCGCTTGCTTGCTTGCTTGCGCGCTTACGACCGTGCAAATCTTTCGGTCGTTTTTTAACCCACTTCCCGTGATCCAATCGAGCTGACATTTTGCACACAGACTCGTTGTGCGTGACAATTTCTTTTCCAAAATGTTACACTTTTTAGGAAAAAATAAATAATATTTAATTACCAATTGCTTAATGGTGGCAGGCAATCATCTGACCCATAGGTGGCAGCCATCTCAAGCCAGAGGACGAGAGGACTCTAGCCGCCACGCATATAAAGGATTTATAGTGAAAAACTTTGTTTTTACGGGTTAATTTTTTATTACACCTAGTGGAGCGACGCTGAAGTCTGCTCGCGAGGCCAACATGGCTGTTTAATAACAACGCGCCAAGGTGGAGAACGTGTGTATTGGTTGCAGCACGCAGTGTTACGGGTACAGGCAGCCATATTCTATCCGAGGTGTTCATTGTCTCAGGCCCTTCCTTTTGCCCGAGCCATTGAATAGTCATGCCCGATCATGTGACCATCTGAATTATCTCGTGTATAATTTCATTCATTCACCTTCTTGGTTCTTTCGGTAAAGTCACATAGAAGGAAAATAATAAAATAATAAAAAAACATTATGAAATACAATTCTCACGACGTTTCGGCCACAACGCAAGCAGCCGTCCTCAGGTAAAGACCAGGTCTGTCGGGGAGACAGCGTCTGAATGAAACACCACCACGCTTGGAGCGTCTATTTAAGCTGGGTTAGAAGGGGGGAAGGGCGCCTTGACAAATAATTTGCATATCAAGAGGAATTTAGCATATTTATGGGAAATGCAGGTATGTGATTAGTACTACTTGTACATGGCAAACATGAACGTATTATGTCATTGGGTTGTTTCTGCTGGAAGTAAAATGTAACGTGTAACATTTTATCGTGACGCGTTACTGGTATGTTTTACATTCGCAAGTTAACTTTAAATATGTAATCATCGTCGTAATCATCGTGAGCCAAGATCTATCCGCTGTTTGGTTGCTGGAGCATATTTGTCTGGGAGTAAGGGAGAGATGTGAGGAGGGAGTTGGGTGTTGATGAGTCCATGCAAGATCTTGAAAGACGGCGAGTGAGATCTTGAAATTGATGTGGAATTTGATTGGGAGGCAGTTGAGGATTGAGGTATTGTGGTCACAGATTTAGGCTGCGGGTGAGGAATCTGACGGCATTTTGGATCATTTCGACGTTGGAGATGAGAGATTTTGTGAGGCCTTAGAGGAGAGAGCTAAGCAGATGTTGCAGTCATTTTAGCTGTGACGGTCCCACCTGATGACGGAGACTTGTGTTGCCTCCGAAACGTCGTGATTTATTATTTTATTTTATTTCCATTATTACTTTTATTAACTTTTAATTCAATTTTTTACCTACGTGACTTTACCGAAAAAACTTAAGAGTATGAATCTTTGCAGTCACGAAAGCTTCAAATCTAGAAAGAACTAACGACCGTTAGTTGGAAAGTGAAACATACAAAAACAAGCGCGGGGGTAGTGTCACCAATGGCTGCCCCCTTGACGGTGTTTCCCTTCCCAGGGCGGTCACCATGGCGCAGCTCGGCGCGAGCGGCGGTGCTAGCGGGGAGGCGCGCGTGGCTCCGGCCGCGGCGCGCCAGTGGTGCGGTGGCGGCGACGGTGGCGGCGAGGCGCAAGTTTACCGCGTGCCGATCGTGCAGCCCGACCTGCGACGGGAGGAGACGGTGCAGCACATCGCCGATGCGCTCGAGGCCCTGTCGCGCATCTCCATCGACATCTTCTCACGGTGAGACGCGTCCGTCCGTCCGTCCGCCTGCCATCTCCGTCAGCATTCCCGGGCGCCGGGGAATGTTGTACTCTTTGGTTTTTTCGGTAAAGTCACGTAGGTGAAAAATTTATGAAAAACAACTGAATTAAATCACGACGTTTCGGAGGCAACTCAAGCTTCCGTCTTCAGGTGGAACCGTTACAGCCAAAATCACTGTAATAAATGGTTTTAGTTTTATCTACGTGACTTGTTTCTTCATCTGAGGGACGGCTGCTTGCGTTGTGGCCGAAGCGTCGTGAGAATTATTTTATTATGTTTTATTTTTATTATTTTATTACTTCCCTTCTACGTGACTTTACCGAAAGAACCAAGAAGATGATGAATCCCTGCAGTCACGAAAGAATTAAATCGTGATTCTTTTGTGTTTAGTTTGTGCCCCCCTCCCCGTACCTCCACTTATCACAGTTGGCTACGCACGTTGCGAAACAAGTTTGACGTACGTACGTACAAACTGACGTTCTGTCTGCGAATGCGACACCCATCGATGTCTGCGTGCCCATTCACATGGCTGTCCTTCCGTCCATTCTTTGGGAATTCTGTCCATCGATCTCTCTGTTTGTTTGTCAATCCACCCGGTGGTCCATCCCTCCCACATTATTTCTATCCCTGTGACATACTCGTGGTCCGTTTCTCTGTCTATCCACTGACTGTATCAGCTGTCCATCTGTATGACATTCTGTCCTTCAATTTGACATTTCGTCTGTCGCTTTCTCTGTCCATCCTCCTTTGTACGGCTATCTATGCGACGTGCTGTCTACATAATAAAATAATAGGGTTTTTCCCCTCTTTTCTGGCAACAAAAGTGAAACCTTTTTACAAGGATTCATGTCTGCATTAACCACAATATTTGCAGTCAAAATGCAAAAAAAACACACCATGATAATATATGCATTGTCCTTGAAACTGATTGGTCCACACAAAGCGACGGCTTTCTTTTGAGCCTCGATCCAATTGGTGCTAGACCAGAGGACGCCAAAAGGCGTACAGCTCAAAGACAATGCACTATCAAAGTAATGAGGGCTCGGGGTGAGCATCTACATCATTAGACCTCCTTTGCCAGTACCAAAATATAATAATAGGGTTTTTCCCTATTATAAAAAAAAACCCTTATTATATTTTGGTACTGGCAAAGGAGGTCTAATGATGCCGTCTGCATGTCTGTTAATTTCTGCGCGTGCATTTTTTGCAATGTTTATCTGTCTTTCCATCAACATGTTTGTCTGTTTATTTGTCTTTGTCCTTGTGTATGTCCATCTGCATATCCATCTCTTGGCATGTAATGATTCATTGCTCAGGTTTTCCATCTTGGCAGCCATCAATCATTCAATCAATATATACATTCGATCCTTCTCGACCATCCATCTAGTCCATTTATCCATTCAATCTATTCTCAATAAATCTTTGGGTGCAGCCACTCAACACCTTCCATCCACCCAGCCCGCTCGTTAACTTTAAATTCGGTTAATTGCTCCCAGCCAGCCTGTCTCTACTAAAAACCCATCCTTTGAATCCCATTTGTCCAATATTTTGGCAATTAGTATTTTTTTATCTTCGAATCGGATGGGGGGTGGGGGAGCATGTTGAGATAATGGGTTTTATTTTGCACAGTGGACTTGGGTGTAAACAACAACAAAAAACAACGCTGGCAGGTAATAAAAACAATGGACGCTAATAGGACAGGCAGTGGGCATGAACAGCGTGACACCGTCCGCGTTATTAAGAGCGCCACAGACATCTCGTAAGGATGCAATTGAAATCAACAAGAAATGTAGCGAAAGCATAAACAAACGTGAAATGCTGCATCCGGGGAATGTTTCCGAGTGTGCGGATGGGGAGAAGTCGTGTGATATTGCTTGAATGGCTTGATTCTAAATGCAATGGATGTGGACAAAAGTCATAACCAAGTAATTCTAGATTTGAAGCTTTCGTGACTGCAAGGATTCATATTCTTAGGTTTTTTCGGTAAAGTCACGTAGGTAAAAAATTAAAATTAAAATTAATAAAAGTAAAATAAAAATATAATAAAAATCACGACGTTTCGGAGGCAACACAAGCTTCCGTCTTCAGGTTGAACCGTCACAGCACGATAGCTGTATCAAGTAAGAGATATTCCAAGAAAACAGTCCTTGTAGATATACTGGTTGAGAACCAAGGTTAACGAAAGGTAGTTGCTTTGTTTGTATGGAGTTGTGGAACAGATCAAAACAATGTTGAAGTTTAAAACTAAACTATTTTTTTTTACGATTTTTATTTTACCAGATAAGGTTCACTAAGCTATACAGGCAGTCTTCTATTTACGATGGAGATGCGTTACGACGACCCCATCGTAAGTCGAAAATATCGCAAGTCGAAGATGGCCTAGCCTATCCAGGAGTCTTAAAGAATTGTGATAATTTATCAAAACAGAGCAATTTACAGTACCGTACTGTGTAAACTATATACCGTATGTATTTATTTATTACAATACTGTATTGCACAGTAAAATGTCAAGTAAAAAAAAACGAGGTAAATTCTTAGCCTACCTATGTGAACTGCAATTTAATAGAAAGTTTTTTTCGGGAAACAATCCTATCTGCATCACACAAGGCGGGAGATGAGTACATCCCGGCAGCGTCCCAACGTACAGTATCGTACCTCGTACACTGCTGCGTTTGCCTGCCGCGCGAAATTAAAAATATTTCACAATTTTTTCGTATCACTATCGCCATCGTAAGATCGAAATATCGTAAGTCGGACCATCGTAACTCGGGGACTATCTGTATAGCTGTTTTTTTAGAAGCCACCCGGCCACAAATGATAACGTGTCCAAGTGGTTTATCACGTGGAAATGTCTCGCAGCTAAACAATCTAAACGCACGTTTGTTCTAAATGTGCAGGGAAAAACCAGAGGACCCGGGGAAAAATCCACGCTGGCATGGGGAGCGAGACACGCAAACTCTTAATATAAGGCAGGCGTCAGGGTTGGGATCGAACCCGCGACCTTCTGTATACCAGGCGAGGTAGTTAACATCTAGCCACCGTGATGATGATGAGAGAGAGAGAGAGACACACAAACTCCGAATATCTAACAGCAGGCGTCCGGGTTGGGATCAAACCCGCGACCTCCTGTATACCAGGCGAGGTAGTTAACATCTCCTAGCCACCGTGATTATGATGAGGATGAGAGAGAGAGACACGCACAAACTCCGAATATACGGCAGCAGTTAATGCCTCGCAACCTTGGCAAGACGTTAACTACCGTGTGCTGGAAAATTTTAAGACTTATGCATTGAATGCTGGAGAAGGAACAAAAGCATTGACAATTACAGCAGGAGACGTTTAAAGCTTCATCCTGAACACGGGCATGAGATGTAATCCCTCGTATTGTTTGATTATGTGTAGCCACTGCAGTTAATGATATACATGAAGCGTTTTTTCTCTCCTCTGATCTCATTTCCATGACCAGTTTCATTGAATCTCTACGCTTGTTAGTGAGGGGGTGGGGGGTAGTATTGTTTTGATGTTTGAGCTTTTCTTTGGAGTTGTCGAAAGTCTCATCGTATTCGTCAATATCGGTTCTTATACGTGCACGTACGTATGTTTTAAAGGAATCACTCAAAGCCGCTTTCAAATGTGTTTTCCAATCAGGAGGTTCATTGGTAAATACAGTAAAACCTTGGATTGCGAGTAACTTGGACTGCGAGTGTTTTGCAAGACGAGCAAAAATTTTAAACAAATATGAATTTGATAAACGAGCGAGGTCTCGCAATACGAGTAGTACGTGTATACGCTTTGTCTGCCGAGCGTCACGTGATCACAACTGATACACGAGTGATTTGATATACGAGTGCTTTGGATTACAAAAACGGAACGAATTATGCTCGCAATCCAAGGTTTTACTGTATGGGTGGTTTGCTTCTCCATGGTGTTGCATCGGTTGAATGACGACAACAGTATTTTACAGTGCCTTTGTCAAGCCACTGTTGGATGAAGGCCTTCCCACGCCATGTCAGTTTTGATAGTTGTTGATCATACTTCACCACTATGGTCTATTCGGGTCGGAGAACGTTGGTTTCTATTTTTTTACTATACTTTATTTCACCAGGTAAGGCTCCACTGAGCTATACAGCTCTTTTTTAAATCCTTTATATTAAGTTCGCTTGCTTGCTTATGACCGTGCAAATCTATTGGTCGTTTTTTAACCCACTTCCCGTGATCCAATCGAGCTGACATTTTACACTGTTTAGGGAAATGTTTTTAAACATTTAATTACCAATTGTTTAATGCTGCCAGACATTCATCTGACCCATAGGTGGCAGCCATCTCAAGCCAGATTTATAGTGAAAAACTTTGTTTTTACGGGTTTACTTGTTTCAGATGCGACCCGGCCACAAATGATAGCTCAACGAAGTGGCTTGTCACGTGGACATTTATACCAACCAATTACTCTTCAGCGCACATTACTCAAATGTGGGATGGAAAACACGGCGGGCCCGGAGGAAAATCGAAGCGACCACGGGGAGAGAGAAATGCAAACTCCAAATATACAGCAGCAGCAGGCGTCAGGGTCGGGATCGAACCCACGACCTCCTGCGTACCAGGCGATGAACGTAACGTCTTGCCACAGCGGTTGCCCAGGGCCAGTTTCAATATCACTTGCCACTGATGTTGGCCACAATTGGGAATCAGATTTATGTCTCCGGGCTCATGGTGCAGCGCGCCAACCGCCGTGCCACGACTCCACCGCCAGCATTCAATCTTCCTCCCACGCTGCGGCCTCTGTCAACGAAGCCACGAAGCCAAACCGTACAGAACCTCGCCACGGCTGCTTCGGAGATGATTTATAAACGGTGCCCCCCGCCCGCCGCATCAGTCGGACAGAATCCGTCATCATCTTGGCTCTCTGTTACCAATTAACGATATACCACCTCTTTCCCCTTTAGCAGTCAGCCACCACTTAGGTTGCACATTTCCGTATA